AAAGTTGAATAAACTTCAACTTTACTGTTCAGTGCACTGATGTCAGACTCATTTTGGATAGTAAAGTTTATTGTTAAATTGTTAAATGCCCTTACATATCTCTGTCACCATTATAAGTGTTTGATCACCACATTTGAGTGATCATTGCAAAAAATGTGTTTATGCATATACTGTATTCTATATATTTTACCAGTCAAATGTTTGGACGAATGGGAAAGTGTCCAAACTTTTGACTGGTACTGTACTATAATATACACAAAGAATATCGGCCGATATATCGTTATCGGGCCCAAATATTGTTACCCCCTAATATCGGTATCGGTATCGGCCCCAAAAAAACCATATCGGCTCTAGTTTTAACGAAAAAATGTATCCTCATGTACATGTGTCCTTTACAACAGTACTGCCATGGCACAGTGGCATCTATGTGATAGTCTTGATTTTATCTTCTAATTCTCTCTCTTTTTTTTCAGCCTGATGAGTTGACAAATGCTCTGGAAATCAGTAATATCGTCTTCACCAGTTTGTTCGCACTGGAGATGCTCCTGAAACTGCTGGTTTATGGTCTTTTTGGCTACATCAAGAACCCTTACAACATCTTTGATGGTATTATTGTGGTAATCAGGTACACATGCTCTTCTGCATTCTTTCTTTAGTACTTCTAAACATTAATAACGTGGCCTGTGTCACTGTTTATTGACGTTCATCTTCATTTCTGAAAATGCACACTGGCAGTGTGTTATATCACAACAGTGACAGCCAGACAGAATGCAGCCATTACTGAGTGATGGGACATCTGCTGCCTGTTCAGTCTGATGACTGTCAGCTGTCATGATGAGTGTTGCAATTTCACGCCCATCCATTCTCAATTGACATGAATTTGCACATACTAAGACGTCTGAACAAGCAAAAGATTTGGCATGGTACAACGTTATGATGGGTTCTTGCATTTATTAATGCTCAGCGTGTTGCATAGATACAGTCGCCAACTATTCTGGGGGCGTGGTTTAACGTGGGTGGGAAAACAAATACTGGTTACCATAGTAACACAATCATTCTTAAGAATTATTTTTTTCTTTAAATACTTCAAATACCTCTACTTCAAAAATAAATAAATACATAAAAATACATAGATAAATAAAAAAATAAAAATAAAAAAAAAAGATAAAATAGATAATAGAATAGAAAAAATAAAAGTAAAAAACAAGCAGGTTTTTCAATTTAAAATATTAATAAGCTAAAATATAAAATATAATATAACAAGCTAAAATTATTACATATTAAAATAATAATTAACATGAGTAAAAATAAAGTATTATTTTAATTATTAATTTCACTTCAAGGAATACCTTTTATATTTAATAATTATCTTTTGTTTTTTGTTTATACTAAAAGCAAGTAAAATATATATATATATATAAGGAATATAAAATATAAAACAGCAAAAAAGCATAAAAAACAAGCAACTTTTTTAAATGAACAAAAATGGATATAACAAGCTAAAATTATTAAAATATTAAAATAATAATTTATTAAAATAAATAAACAAAATTAAGTATTCTTTAAATTATTAATGATTATATTATTAAAATAATAATAATAAAATAATAAAAAATAAGATGTGTTGCAATACACTACAGTTCAAAGGTTTGGGGTCAATAAGATTTTTTAGATGTTTTTAAAACGGGTCTAAATGAAGATGCATTTATTTGTTCAAAAATGATTAAAACTAATACTGTGAAATATTTTCAATACAATTTAAAATAACTGTTTTCTGTTTAAATGTATTATGTATTTGCTATTGTCTCCAATCATCTTGTTGCTGAATTGCTTGTGTTCACAGCAGTTTTATTTTAGCTTATTTTATTCAACTGGCTAGTGACATTTTTTGCTCTGTTTGAAATGCAACAAACCACACTAAAACATTTTGGAATTATTTTCTTTCAAGAAATAACCCAATCTATTGCATTTCTCCCTTAGGAATGAAAGGATAACTACGATAGCCGGGATTTGTTTTAGCATTGTCCTCCTTGTGCATTCTGTCAGATGTGTGTGTTTATATGTGTTGACAGTGTCTGGGAGATTGTTGGCCAGCAGGGAGGAGGTTTATCGGTGCTGAGGACCTTCAGACTCATGCGTGTGTTGAAGCTGGTCCGCTTTATGCCCGCCCTGCAGAGGCAGCTGGTGGTCCTGATGAAGACCATGGACAATGTTGCCACCTTCTGCATGCTGCTTATGCTTTTCATATTCATTTTCAGGCAAGATGATAGATGCCTTTGTGCAATTTAAAAGGACTGTACATTCAGTCTATTTATTTTACATTTGAACTATTTGTTTGTAATTTTGTTTTACAGTATTCTAGGCATGCACCTGTTTGGATGCAAATTTGGCTCTGAGAGAGATGGAGACACACTTCCTGACCGCAAGAACTTTGACTCTTTGCTGTGGGCCATTGTAACAGTTTTTCAGGCAAGAGTCCTGCATGCTACACAAGCTGCAGTTTCAATCAGGCATCTTAACATCCATATTGAGTGATCCGATCATAAGTGTACAGCACGAAATACAGATGTAAACATGTTTTGTGCTCCCAATTAATAACACATGCTCATATTACGCAAGTTTCACGCATATGTACACTACCACTCAAAAGTCTGGGGTCATCGAGATTTATTATTTATTATTATTTTTTTTTTTAGAAATTAATATATTAATTTCGCAAGAATGCAATAAAAAAAAAAAAAAGATTTATAGGTATTCATTTATGGGTAACTCTTTACAATAAGGTTCTATTTGTTAACATAAGTTAACTAGATTATTTAACATGAACTAACAAACTAATATTTATCATATATAATGTAAATTTCAGCCATTTCTAATACAATATTAAAATGAAAAGTTGTATGTTAATTTTATTTAATGGACCTGATCTAACATGAACTAACAATAAACAGTTGTAATTCTATTAATAACTAATGTTAACAAAGATTAATAAATACTGTAATAAATGTATGGCTCATTGTTAATGTTAATGAATTAAATAATGCTAACTAATGGGACCTTATTGTAAAGTGTTACCCATTTATAATGTTACAAATGATTTCTATTTTAAATACATTCTGTTTCCTTGGTGAACTTTCTATTCATCAAAGAATCCCAAGTAAAAAGTATCAATTTTTTAATTTTTTTTTTTACAGAAGTATTGGAATATTAGAATGATATAAGCATATTATCAGCATATCATTTCTGAAGCATCATGTGACAATATGAAACTGGAGGAATGTCTGCGGAAATTTAAGTTTTGCCAGCGCAAGAATAAAATTAGAAAATGTAACATTAACAATTATTTTGTGGGGATATTTCATAATATTACTGTTTTACTGTAGTTTTGATCAAACTAATGCATCACTGATGAGCATAGGAGACTTCCGACCCCCACATTTTGAACATAAGTATAAATGGCAGTTTGATTGTGTTTGTTGCTTGTACATCAGATCTTGACTCAGGAGGACTGGAATAAGGTACTGTATAATGGGATGGCCTCCACCTCTCCTGTGGCTGCTCTGTACTTCATCGCCCTCATGACTTTTGGAAACTATGTCTTGTTCAACCTGTTGGTGGCTATCTTGGTGGAAGGATTCCAAACTGAGGTAAAGCCAGATTCCAACCTAGCCTCTACATTTTTTTATCCTCTTTTTTTTTCTTCACTTCACAGTCTGTCTTCTCTTTTTTGTCCTTTAGAATCTAGCACATATTCCAACACCGTATCTTTCTTCTCTTTTTCACCACTAGCTCTCTCCTGTCTCCTTCGTCTAACACTATGTCCTAAACAGGCACGATGTGACAAGATTCAAGTGAAAAGCGATTTTTCTGTACAGGCTGAAAGCAAAAATGATGCTCGATGCAACAAAATCACAGCCAATCTGTTTGCGTGCTTTCTCACACTCCACAGCTGAAGAGCGTGAATCTAAGAACCTTGTATTTTCATGACTTTTCATAACGCTTCACTTAACAGAGTCCTTTTCATGGTTTTCATTAAGGTGCTTGAAGGATTTTTCAAATCATTTGTCATATAAAACTTCCTTACCAATTTCTTGTCATCCGTTTTTTTGATGTTCAGTATATGTGAGGAGCGAGTTTGATCCACTGAATTTCATATGGGCAGGGGTGTGTGTGTGTGTGTGTGTGTGTGTGTGTGTGTGTGTGTGTGTGTGTGTGTGTGTGTGGAGCAACACAACATAGAAGAGAGACACTTGCTGATTTTCTGAGTAGAGTTACTAGCATACTACTCTTGTGGCAGAAATAGTAAGAGTAGTATGCTATCCTGAATTTAGTGACTGTTTTGTAGTATAAATAGTGTAAATTGTGTGTGTAGTTCACACCAAAAACAAAAACTATAAAGATAACTAGTGTACGATAACTATAAAGATAATTTATTATAAGCACATGCTGCAGTTATGTTGTCTGCCCCTATAAATGCTCAAGCTCTTTAAAGATGGATTCTGATGAGCTGTTAACACTTTACCATTCATTAGCTGGAAAAAATCTGAAAGTGATTCCAATGGTAACGTTTTTCTGTGTCTTTATTGTTATTGTTGTGGTGTGGACGCAACATAGTGTATAGTATGTCATTTGGGACAGTTTTATTGTTTATTTGATCATAATTTGAGCTAAAAAATCTAAATGTAAGATGCTATTTTTGGCAGATTTCGTTGGTTTGAAATATGTTTCGAAATGTCATCTTGAGATTTCTGTCTTTCTTATTCATGTAGATAACAGTTGTACTTCAAAAACAGCTGTCTGGGAGCATTTCCAAGTGAACTGAATTGGAACTTAGCGCCACAGAAGTACAGAAGCAACTGACAAAATGTAGTGTCATTGTCAAAGCTGGTTAGGACAGACACGTGGAAAGCTTCTTGCTTTGTCGCATTGTGCCTGGTTAGGACACTATGCTATTCAACTGGAAGTGATGAGTTTCTTGTTCTGTGTATAATAGTGCCTACTCCATGCTCAAGAGCACTCCTTCTCATCCTCCTTCCTTCATACTTTTTCTTTATCGCCTTCTTTTTCCATGATCTTATGAGACAACTTATCTCCCAATGCATAGCAGCCATTCTTCTCTGACAGAAAGACAGACACGCACACAGAAATGGCCAGGCTCAAGATAAATCAGAGATATAAATGTTATACCTATGTATCATTTTGGGTGGAGGGGTTGTTTTATTACTGTCTCTTTGGAAAGAGGTGAACCGAATCATGCAAGTTGACGTGTCTATACAGTGCAAAAAGAAAAAACTATTTGATCACCTTTATTTTTACCGTATGATCAATTTTTGAAATAAAATGTTCACATGCAGTTTGTCGAAGTCCTGTTGTTTGGCGTTCTAGTAGATGTAATACAGTTTAACTCATGATAAATGTTACTGTAAATCTAAGACCTGACAACTCATTTATTTTGAACTCTGCTCACATGGTGGATTCAAAAGATTCATAAAACTTTTAATGAAAAAAGTATCTCTAGATTTTGATTGATTGTTCAATTGAGCAAAATCATTGTTAGAATAACGAACAGATGAATCAAAAATGATTAAGTGCTGTTTCTGTAACACCTCATTAGAGCAACAACAAGAGAAACAAAACACGTAATTGAAAATTGGTTTGTCATTCATAATAATTTGCATAATAGGAGTGAAAGAGAAAGTTCTGGATTTTTAGTTGACTTGAGAGAAGGTATTATCTGGACGGAACTCAGTTCTTTGCCTTTTCCCCCTCATTCTGCATCATGGCAGGAAATTATGTAGCTCAGAAGTCTTCAAAATAAACTCTCTAGTCTTAAATAAGAGAGGATAGCCCACACTCAGCTGACCCCTATCTGCCGTTACCTTTGCTAAGTGCATCAGATATTATAATCTCATCGCAACTGATCTGATGCCAACAGGAATGCCAAGGTACTGTGTTCTCCTGCTCTCCCCTAAAACTGACGAACACTACTGGCTTAATATTTTAACCTTACATCATTTTCTGCAAACATCATGTTTATTTTTAGTTGGTCGAACTTTGCAGTGCATCAGGGTTGCTGGGGAAACGGGTGGCTGAATGACACGTGAAGCAGAGAGATCAAGGGCCAGGATGAATGTCCCTTCAACAGCGTAATGTCCCGTCCACTGCAGCAGATTGCTTTATGTAATCACACTGCTGTAAACAGGTGGTCACTGTTGGACTAGCATGTCGGTCTGTATGTCCGCATGTTCAATGGTCAACTTGTCCATGTATTTTATTGGTTAAAAGCTAGATTTATTTTTTTTAACTACTGTATTTGCGTCCATCTTTGCACAGACACCTTCACAAGGCATTTACTGGATCAAAAATACAGTAAAAACAGTAATATTATGAAATATTATTATATTTTAAAATAACAGTTTTCTATTTTAATATATTTTAAATTGTAATTTATTCCTGTGATGACAAAGCTGAATTTTCAGTCTTAAGTGTCACACAATCCTTCAGAAATCATTTTAATATGCTGATTTGGTGCTCTTATTTCGAGATTTCTTATTATCTCGAAATCAGTTGTGCTGTTTAACGGTTTGATACTTTTTAAAGGATTCTTTATTAAAGTCCCCCTGTAGTCAAAAATGTTATCCTTTAAAACTCATCTTTGATCATAAAAATGACATATTAATTTTTTTTTTCTTGTGAAAATAATTTTCTCATGCCTTAAAATAGCTTGAATGCAACTCTACACCCTTGCCTCATTTACTATACGCGGATCTATGAATACGCAAATTAGCCCCGCCTCCACTCAGTCACACAGCAGCCAGCCATGAGTCAGCGCCTCCTGAACTGTACTGAACTGTAGTAAACGCGATACAATGGCAATGGCAAGTGGAAATATTGGTTTAATTAAGCCATATGTGTTTGAACCAGAAATAAGATGGTATGCTCAATGTAAGCAAGGAGACTGATGTCTAACTTCGTGAGGTAACATTATCTGTTTGCGCTGGTTCGTACATGGATAATGACTGATAAAACTGTTTTTACTAGCGGACAACTACAGTGGATACTGTAACATTAGTTAAATTTACTTACTTGACGATGTTGTGTCCTCAAAATGCCTTGAAGACTCAAATGCAGCCAAGTCTGTGATTCCAAATCGTGCCCGCGATCATACGCGTGTGACGTGCGGATGTCAATGCAGGAGAGGTGCGTCTGACTCCGGGCTACTTTTACACTGCTGCCGCAGGTTATTATTCAAGTTAGCAGTTCTAAATACAAATAAATAAGCGCTAACAGCACACGACATCGTGAAAATAGGGGGAAACATTAACAGTTAGCGAAACATCTACAGAAAAAATATAGCTGTTATCGGATTAACCTGGCTGCCTTCTCACTAGACCCTCTGCTTTGCAGCACAGTTAATGATATGCTAAGGATAGGATCCCTTGACGCGATTGGTTATTGAGTTTTGTGACGTAGCAAAACAAAGGCTGTTTCAAACCGCGTTTCTGTGACTGC